GGATGATCGCGCACACCGGCAACAAAGTTGGCCGCGAATTGATTGAAGCCTCAGATAAGAACTCATTCAATCGATTTATCGATCTGGCGCCGGCATACATCGCCCTGCGCAGGCATCGCCGGACTGACGGAATTGGTGGTTGATTGGCCCCTGCCTCCTATAGCTGTTGGTTGTCTTTTGTTGACGCCTTTTATTTCTGAGGGTGGGCTCCAGAAAGAGTCCAAAAGCTCGGACAAGTAAAATCATGATTCCGGTGATCGAAACGCCTTCTACTTCTCCATCTACCAAAACTAGTAATGGGCGACATTAGAGTAAAGAATCAATAAAACCAAGGTTTTTTAAACAAATATTAAAGGAGGAACAGCGCGCCAGCACACACACACACATATACAGGAAGTAGATCCTAATCTGCATGGGCGCAAAAGATGGTGGGGCAAAAATACAAGAGAGACAAAGGTTGGCCGCAGAAAAAAAAAGATATGAAGAGCGAGGAGTTCAAACAGCGCGTCGTCATACATCATCCCACCGCGCCAGTGACGGGATAAAGTACTTCCACGGCAAAAACTCGCACCTCGGTGATTAGTGAAGAGAAGTGGGCAGGAGCTTGGCAACGCCCACGGACACGAAGCCATTGTAGACGACTGGGGCTGCGAGACCCTCCGAAAGACCGGCAGGAGCACTTTTGGGAGTCCCGTAGGTTACCTTTTCAGTGGCGGATTTGGACGAACCGAAAATCTTTATTACAGCCTCCTTCTCGTCCTCTTTGAGTGCCCGGTTACGAGGGAAAACCACATCGAAGGTGACAAACAGTGAGCCACGCACATTGTTCCGCTCAAAGTTCGGCATGCCTTCTTTCGGAATGCGCAAAATTGAGCCCGGCCAAGTGATTTCAGTTCGCTCAATTTTTACCTACAAAAGGGAATATTTAAAGACAGCTAAGCAGCGGATTATCGCTCAAAAGTATCAGCGTAAGTAGGTAACAGCCTCGAAAACATTCACCACCATAGCATGTACCTAGCTTTCACAAGGGCGACGTTTATTTAATCGAACATAGCACCTCGGATAGAGACCTTCGTTGTTAATTTAAACCCTATAGAAAACAAGTCATAAAAATGAAACATGCTAATAACACCCGGACGGAGGCTTTTAAAAAAACTTAAGGTATTCATTGCAGCGAAGGAGATTCCACTTTTTAAAGGCAATAGGAGTACCACTGTACCGCCGACAACGTACGCCTGAACTTGCTTGTTACAAAGCATATTTTCGCAGCGTCTATCCCATTTTATTTTCTAAAGCCCACTAGGCTTCACCGAAAAACCGAAGTTAACAAGACTGAAGGCCACGTGGGTAAGGTAGCGGACAGAATTTCGTGAAAAAAGTCACCTACTTCACAAAACCCAGACTTCAAAAAGGGTGACACCGCCAGATCTCGCATGAGCAGGAATGTCATAAGAGCAAAAGGCAGAACAAGTCACTGTAGTCACACTCATTCTGTACGTGGATTGAGTTATCCCGTGAATTGATAACCTTTCGAAACACAATGGGCAGCACGTGAAGGTACTTAAAATGTGTAAGGCTGTTCGGACTAAGCGCTGGATCTGGGCTGGGTTAAATTGAATTCACTCTCCTTTGCCTCTCCGTGTTCCAGTGGTCTGACTAGGATAGGCCGCCGGAAATGAAATTGGAAATGGTAGCTATTAGGGCCCAACTTAATCGCGCGCGCACACAACCCAGATGAGTCGTTCCCACGCCGTACGGCCGACTCGCTCACACAGTGCACGTGATGACGCGCAGCTGCGGCCAGGCGGAAGAGTCTAACGCGTTAGCCGGATGAGTCACAAAGCCAATGCAGTCGCTCATCCCTTGAGGCCACAATCTGATTGGTCCAATCTTGTACGCTTTGCTTGCCATAAGTACGCTGTACTGGGTATGCAAAAGACGTCTACCTCGCGCTCTTTTTGCTGTTTCATTCATTGGGAACTCAAACAAGAGGTAATTAGACGATGATATCGCGGCTTTGGCTACATTCATAACAAATTGGCGACGCAGGCCCTAACAAGATTGTCTTCTTTCTCCTTTGCCTCCCCCACGTTCCAGTGGTCTGACTAGGACAGGCCGATGGCGGTGAAATTGGACAAGGTAGCTAATCCTACTTGATGTCCCCGAGTGCCTTTACTATACGGACTTTGATCTAGCAGAGGTCAGAGGCGCCATAGATGCACATTAGGAAATGGACAAGTACATACTGACCCCTGTTTCAAAGGATCGATGTATGCCGTCAGCTAGCAACCATTTAAGCTAAGACCTCTAACGCCTCTCATGTACTATTATGAGGCAGGCGTGCATTTATCAAGAGAAGGGCCTTAACAAACTCCTTCCTAAGTGTAAGGGATCTGTCCGAGCATGTCCACCGACTGATGACATTGGGAACTGTCAGG